ATTTATATGGCGCACAGTAAATTTTATAGATTGTGCGCCTTCCGCACAGTGATTTTTTATTGAAAAATAAACACTGGGTCTGTAGGTCTGTATAATAAGACTTATAGGTCTCAGGACTAGGACCAGACCAAGACTAACTTTAACAACCCTACTTATACCTGCTATTTTGCTGATGCAAAATCCGATATAAATTTCAGCCAATCATATTTCATCAAAATTTGCATCAACCGATTTTGAATTGTAATAATACTAATTATTTATATGTTATAATGATCTACTTTATAGGTAATGCGATTTAACTGATATCGCACACCCCAATAAACTAGGGTTTCCGTTTAAAATAGAATATTAAATATTCGGAAAATACAAATCGAATTGACGAAAATCAAATATTGAAAATCATTTAATATCGAATAATTTCGATTATCTTTCGACTCTTTTTAAAAAATTAATTTTTATATTTTTTAAAATGTCAGCGATCGAAAAACAACTGGAGGAAACAAAAAAAGAAATTGAAAAGGTGGAAGGAGAGTTAAAAAATGTGGAAGGAGAGTTGAAAGAGTTTATGAAAGAGGAGAACTTGAAGAAGTATAAAGAGTTGTGGGGGCTGGAAGAATTAAAGAATGAAAAGGACAGGTTGGAGAAGAGAAGAAATAGTTTGGAGAAGAGAAGAAATGGTTGGGAGGTGTTGTATCAAGAGCTGTTTCGTGAAGGGAAAGGTAATTAACAAATTGCGTAAAAAAAAATATACAAAAAATTATTTTCTATTCATTCCATTTCGTTTTATTTATTTGTTCGTTTGAGAGCACATTTTATTTGATATGCTGTATACAATTTTAATTCTATTCATTTTATTTATACATCCATCCATGCATTCCCAATATTGTTTAGGAATATTGCAAGGAAAGAGACAGCTAGATGAACATGAAGAAAGTAGGTATACTTTCTCACAGGATTCGATCAATTTCGTTGCTTCATTTTTTTTTTGCCTGTGCTGTGTCATATTTGCTAATAATATCAAGTACCTTTCTAAATCACTTTTCTTCTTGCCCGTCTTGTTAATTATCATTCATTTCGGAATTATTCTTTGGGTTGCCTTCTTTGTCTTATAAAATATATAGTACCCAAACAAACAAAACGATTAAGGGAAGAAGAAACAGTTAGACCAATGAAAAGATTTCACACACGAAATTTCAGGATCTCTGGTCCTGTCACTGCGGATGATTTTCATGTTTCTGTGTACAAATTAACCATGCCAGATCTCTTATACCATGCCGAACGTGGCACTTATTTGCTTTTACATGGTCATCGACAATCTGGAAAGTCCACTCATCTTGAACACTTTTATGAAGTAGCTTCCAATGGTTGGAGCACAACATGTACTACATCATCAGTCATTCGTCAACATTGCAAAAATGGTTTTACAGTGATTCCACTTTCTTTTGAATTCGGATTAGATCTTACTACAGTGGATACTTTTTGGGATAGTTTGTTTAAGGAGATTGCAAAAAAGAGTCCAATTTCGATTGACATAGATACTCTTCAGAAACTTTCAACAGAAGCAAAGAAAGTAGCATTCCAGCATTTGTTCACATCAGAGTATTTCAAAAATTTGGTGATACTAATAATTGATGAATTTAACAGGCTTTATCAAAACACAAAAGCAAAGGAATCATTCTTCTCAGGATTACGAGGATTGAAAAATTCATGCTTAACCAAACATGTTGATCAGAACAGAAATAGGTCGATGCTGTACTCGTTCATTGGTGCTGGAACATTTGACATAACACTCCTCGATTCAACATTATCACTCAAAACTGAGCAAGAATTAAGTGAAATAGATTATTATTCATCACCATTTAACATCACTGACTCATTGTGGATAGGTCACTTTACTGAAAAAGATGTCATAAACCTTCTTAAAGAGGCTGCGGAAGACAGAAATTTGTGCATGGAATATGAAAAAATTGGAAAAGACATATATGACCAAACAAATGGACATCCAGGTTTGACCAGTTTTTGTGGTGACAGGTTGATTGATGAGGTATGTTGGGGGAAAACACAGATTCGATTGGCAGACTGGAAGAAATTTGCAGCTGAAAATTTGCTTAACAGGGCATTGGCATCAAATGTATTCCTGAAAATGATTGAAAGCTTGAAGGAAAATAGCCCTAAAGCAGAAATTGCAAGATCATTACTATGGAGGAAATACTTGTTTGATGATGAGATACATGAACCCTCACTAGAAGAGAAAAGTGGATTCCATCATCTTCTTTCAATTGGTGTTCTTATCCAAACAAACAGATACAAACTTGAATTTTCCTCAACTTTAATTCGACAATTGTTATTCATGCATTGTGTGATTTATCGGTCATACGCACCACATAGAGTTGTGGAACTTATCACAGAAAACAAAAATATAGACATATTCAAACTTATAGTTCATGCTGTTTCAATGTTTCGAAACAAAGTTTTAACAGCAGCAGAAGTACAAAACAAGAAAGGTATTGCTGAATACACTTTCCAATTTGAACTATTTTCAGCTATACGACACATTTTGCAAATAATTAGTCTGAAATGTACAAACAATGGCGTACGAATTATTGATAAAGAATTTCTTATCTTCCCGGAGGCAAAAGAGAACAACAAAATGGGAAACAAACGTTTGGACATCCTTATTCGAAATGGTCACAAGGTTCTGATGGAATTGAAGGTTGAGGCAACTGATTATGATTCACTTGTTCAAGGAGTCAACCAGACTGAAGATTACATGATTCACATTGATTCAAGTGAAGCATACTTGGTTATTCTCTGTACTGAGCTTCCAATGCATTATAATTACCAGGCTGGTACTGAGGTTAAGATTATTTGGATTGTGAGCAAGGATTTTACCACATATGAAATTATAACTGTTGGACAAAGTGAAAAAGTTAACACTGAGCATAATCGATTCCTACATGGGTGGTCTTAAAAATAGGCAAGAGTAGGATTTAATTGTTATTATAATTAGTCTGCTGTACATCATTCTGGAAAAATATGGGGTGCTTTAATATCTGTAATTTTTTCTTTTTGATGAAATAAACAAATTTTCTCTTTCTTCTCTCCTATAGTTGTTTGCCATAATTGTTTTTTCGATTTCCATAATATTACTATTAAAATTAGTTTTTTATATTTTATTTTTCATGCTTTGTAAAAATTGTTTCATTATAGAAAAATAAATGCAATATTACTTACTATATCATTATGAATTTTTGACCTATGATCCGTTATATCACTGCAAATTTGTGCAGATAACTAGATGATTATTATTATGTCAAGATTTCTTCATATTTTAATTGTTTCAAAATAGAGGTTTTTTCATATTAATACTATAATTTCAATTGGCAATTATTATGATTGCAATTTACCTTATTTAGAAGCAAATCTGATTCTGATGTATCTATTATCAAACAAGTCCTTTTTCTTTGAAATTGAATTTCATGCTCTATCAACAATTAAAACACATCTGTATAATATTGATTTGTTTTATAAAGCTTACTTTAATTTTTAATCAGAATATGAATGATTATTTGTACATATAGAATTTTCTAGAATAGATACAAATTATTTTCAGGATGCTATTATTCATGTTTTGTGGACGTTATCTTGTAAAGATGTTTTGTAAATTTGTTTAAGATGCATATTTAGTGAGTTTGAAGATCTAATATTAATAATGATTTACTAAAGTCATTCTTGATATAATATAATTGTATGAGAATTTGATGCTAACATATAGTACTTGTATCTTTAGAGTTGAATCTGCTAGTTTTCATATATTTCAAGTATCTATAAAGAAGTTGAAATGTTATATGAAATGTATTGATTTTATCAATATACTTGTGCATTAAAACATTTATTGAGAGAAATTGATATTAGTAAATAAAAAATTGGATACTTATAGATCTAGAATATATTAATGGTAAAATCAATTCACATGATGCTAGATACGTCTCTCAGGCGCGGAAAATCTTGGCAGAATTAATGTTGCTATTGAAGCTCTCCAGCATGAGCGTTACCAAATAATTTGTCATAGATTCTTGTATGCGACTTATACCGCGTAATGTTGAATTACAAAGGCATATATTTTTCTCACTGTGCGACTGCATAAAAACATTGTACATCGAAGGCTTAAGCTTTTTAAATAATAAAATATTTTTCTTTTTTTTTTTATTGGAATTTCAAAAAAGTGAATGTTTACTTCAAAGTATAATAACTATGTATACCTTTTCGAGCATGAAAAAGAACAATAGATATCATACTTTTTAACAATACCTAAAATCAATAATATTCTCTTGCAACTAGATGCGGCGTATCAGTACCCGAAAATCGAGTTTCCGCGAAAAATGAAAAAAATATGACTACTTTTGTCGATATCCATAAATGAAATTCTCTTGTGCTGTACTTGCACGAAAATTTTACTCGTACAATACGGACATTCCGATTATGGTTATTAGAATGGACAAAATGCACATTTATCCGAATAAATTTAAGGTAAATTCTTCATAGATATCAACCATTAAAATTTATTCATTGATCTAAATAAATCAACATCATTTATTTTTATGTGCATTTTGGTGCGCATAACACGGTATCAGGCTCACAGTATTTTACTTTTATACACGTTTGGATTTTTATAGGGTGTACATGTAAAACTGCCATGTAAATGAAAAAAAATATATAAATTGGATATAATGAATTTTGTTTGTGACTAGGATAATCAAAACCCTTATTCTTCTGATTTATTAAGGTTATAATGACAGGATTTTTCAGCCAAGAAAACAATGCGGTTGCTTCCTGGTTCTTAGGTCCACGCGCTGAGAACGGTGAATTTTTCCAGAAATTTTATAAAGATATTATCGAAAAACAGGTGAAAGTGCGACAAGATGATTATTTTCCAAGGGACCCCGTATACATCACAGGAGATATAAAGAATTCAAATGAATTCAAAGCAAACATGAGATCCCTTAATAGTCAACTTGATGTTATTTCGGAGTTACTTACCAAAAAGACTGTACCGTTCTGGTCGCCACGCTATATGGCCCACATGAGTATGGAAGCATCTATGCCAGGTAACCTTGGCTATATGGCCGCACTGCAATACAACCAGAATAACGTTGCTATTGAGGCATCCCCATTAACCACTTGGCTCGAAATGTATGTCGGAAAAAAGTTGTGTGAAATGCTTGGGTTTTATGTCCAGTGGAATCAAAATGAAAGTATTGAAAGCATTGATGATGAGGTAGAGACCCTACCTGAACAACTGGACAAAATTCGAGGATGGGGTCATATCACCTGCGATGGTTCAGTAGCAAATCTGGAATCAATTTGGTAAGTGCAGTATCTAATGCATACACGAAGCTTGCAAGTGATTGATTATGTTATTGTTGTTAACTGACATACAATTTATATACATTTTACGGTTCCAATTACCAATACCGAAATTTTTGAATGCATCCTGTGCTTCTTTTGTATACTTACAGGGCAGGTAAAGTATGAATAGTAATTTTGAACTATTTCACAATTTTTTAATTACTCCAACCTCATTATATAAATAGCACGTAACCTTAAATTTTATCCACTCTCCCTACGCCTGGCTGTTGATGATAATGGTCCTTTATCCTTCATCAGCTTAAGTTTCGAAGTTGAACTAGCCAATGGTAATCGCAAGAAGTTTAAAGAATGCTCTACATGGGAATTGTTAAATCTTAAGCCAATCACAGTGCTTGATATACCTGCCCGATTATTCAATGAATATGGAATCTCCTCTCAATTCTTGCAGGACACACTTCATGAATACAGCATTCAGACTGTTGGCAAGGATTACTTAGAGAAGTTGTTTAATATTACAGAATCCACTGTTTATTTTGCAAGTGCGACCATGCATTATTCTTGGCCTAAGGGTTGCGGTGAGTGTCATTATTTAATTTTAAATATTTTTAGAGGCAGTATTTGCACATTACACTTGGTAGACAATGTTACTAATTTCTATCTATTTATAGCTATTGTAGGAATTGGTTCAAAGAACTTGATACCAGTCCCTGTAGACGATGCAGCACGCATGGATATAGATCAACTTAAAGAGTCGCTCAAAGAATGTGTTGAAAAAAGACAGGCTGTCTACGCTGTAGTGGCAATTATGGGATCAACAGAACATGGTGCTTGTGACCCGTTGGGGGATATCATAGAGCTTAGAAAAGAGTTTGAGCGTGATCATGGACTCAGTTTTGTCATTCACGCAGATGCTGCATGGGGTGGCTACTTCCGTTCCATGCTTATATCACCACATCTTAGTTCTCCAAAAGCTCGTCGTCGACCGGGTCTTGAGGAAAAAGGTGATTCATTTGTACCTTTGTTAGCATTACATCCTCATACCGAAAAACATCTGTATAGTTTAAAGGATTGCGATTCTATCACTGTTGATCCACATAAAAGCGGTTATGTCCCATATCCAGCTGGTAGTCTATGTTATCGTGATCAACGCATGAGATATTTGATTACATGGACAAGTCCAGTTATCAATCGAACTAAAGAAGAAAGCATCGGCATTTATGGTGTAGAGGGAAGGTGAGAAATGAAAACATAAATATTAATTTGTTTATTTTATAATAATTGGTTTATGCATATTATTGATTGTTTAGCAAACCAGGTGCAGCTGCAGTAGCTACTTTCCTTTCTCAAGATGCTATTGGCCTTCATCAGAAAGGTTACGGATTATTGTTGGGACAAGCAACTTTTTCATGTACTAAGGTAACGATTGAGTTATAAAACATGATATTATTACTTTATTTTTCCCTTATACATATGCAATATATTATGTCATAATGCTTAGATTTATTGTCATTGGGCTACCATGTCGACTAAAGAAGATAACTTTATCGTCACGCCATTTAATATGCTTCCTGCTGAGAAGTTTGGTCCGAGCGAAGTTGAGGATCAGAAACAAGAAATCCGCACGCTTATTGTTGAAAAAACAAATGATCAAATCGTAAAAAGTGAAAAAGCCTTGGAACTTATCAAGAAACTTGGTTCTGATCTCATGATTAATACCTTCGCATGTAACTTCAAGGTAGATGGCAAGATAAATGAGGATGTTTTTGAAGCAAATTATCTCAACCAACGTCTATATGAAAAATTTTCATTAACTACTTCCAAAGGCACAAATTTGGATAAGCCTCTAATATTAACTTCCACGCAATTTAAGCAGAAAGATTACAAACATTGCCTGACAAATTTTAAGAATCGTCTTGGTCTGAAAGGTGACCAGGATCTGTACGTGCTAATAAATGTTGTCATGTCTCCCTGGGTTACTGAATTTGAATTCCTTCGCGAATTGACAGCAACGTTTAAAGAGACTTTACAGGAAATTGTTAAGGTAACTTCAATTTTGCAGATTACAGTCATTCTTTCATAAAGTCACGTACCATTTTTAATACATTTTGGTATATTTATGGGGTGCTAATATTTACATTATAGCTTTCAGTCTTTCGTAATAAAGATGAGCCAGATTTCCATGCATTTGTTATGCAAGGCACTGACAATCTCTATCTCACACATTTGCCCATGTTTCAAATGGAAAACCACCGTCGGCAAGTGATTATTACAGCAGATTTACCAATAAATATAAAGGAACAATACCTGAATGCTCGCAAAGCAAATCCATCACACGTGTTCTATCTTGGCAACCAAGATGAAATGAAGCTGGATGATATTGCGTATAATGGAAGTTCTTTTAAAGGGGTTATTTACAAGGATTTTGATAAAGATGGGTTTGTATTATGTGAATTTAATGTCCTTTTATTTAATCTCTTTTCTCTCAACGTTAACGATTTCTTTATTTTACAGAAAACCTATTGAATTTATCAAAGATTTTCAAGTGACCAATGTCCGAGTGCTCAAGAAACGCCACCTAGCCACAGCATTCCAAGATGTTAATTACCCGGTTGACTATATGCCATTCTATATTTACGGTACAAAACAGGAGTTGCATATTGACCACATGTTACTCAAATCTCCATCAATTCAACTTTCGGCTGATAATGTTGAACTCATCCTTACTTCTGGCGAATTGACATCAACTCAGAGAGAAAATGGTGTTATTGTTCACTTCACTGAAGTTCGTGAAATTGCTTTGCAACCATTTCCAGAAATCAAACCATATCCACAAACCGAAACCACACCACCTCTTACATTTTTCTTTCAACATGACCGCACATTTCAGGTGGAACTTTATAATGATCCAATGCCTGACCCGTATCAGAGTGGGCCGGGTTTGGACAATTTTGATAAAAAGAACCCAATTGCTAAAGGAACGATCAAGTTACCGTCTAAGGATAAGGGATGTTTGTATATTGATTCTTATATGGTTAATAAGGATCCTACTGCAGAGAAAAAGGTTAAGCATGATAAAATTGTGAATCGATCAAAAATCATACCGTTGAAAAGATTTTATGCAGACAAGTTTGATCATAAGGATGAGTTGCATTGGTATGAGGAAAAGGCGGAATAAGAAATTAATAATATACTATCGTATTTGGAATTTTTTTATGATTCGTTACACATTACACATTTATTTTTCTTAGCAAAAAGTGCGTGAATTTTTTCTCGCGCGGTTACACGATTTTAACATATTAGTAGAGAATAGTGCTCAGGGTAAAAAATACTACTGTAAAATCGGAAAAATCTGGTTTAATTTTTTTTTAAAATGACTAAGTATTCTTCATTACTATAAAACAGCTAGTAATAAAAGAGAAGCCAACTTAAGAAGATAAGTCTTTATCTGAAAATGATGACGAAACTATTTTACCTTTTCAAAAAAAAAAACTTTTCGTGTGGTATAAAATTGTAAAAGAAAAATTAAATAAAATAAATATAATTGTCTAAATATAAAATCGCGTGTTTTTTTTGTTGCTGATCCAACCGCAAAAAAAAACAAACAACGTGGTACCATTTCAAGATTTTCAATGATCACCAGGATCCCTAACAAATTGCATTTATAATTTACGAATTACCTGACACAATTAAACCCTTTTACAATAACATCTGATTTTCAATTTTACTATTCGAATTGAACCTACAGACCTTGACGCTTTGCAATTAATTTTGAGACAACAATTCAAATTAAAGTTAACTGGTTTACCTTTTAACATGATTCAACGAGATCTTTCAACTTTTCTTAAAAATATTAAAGCTAAATCCTATTTTATTTCACATAACCTTTAATACCAAAACTGCCTATATACTTATATTAACTTTAATAATCAAGATAATTATGATGCAACCCTTATTTCTTATTATAAATCCAAGTTAAACATTCTCTATTGAATTAATTCAGCTGCATTATACTATCACAGATGTAATAATCCTGATTATAAAGCTAAAGATTATTTATCTTAAAATCATTAAATCTATATCAACAATTATATGATGTTTCAAATCTGCTTTTTACTGACCTTTTTGTAAATCTACTAATTGTTTAACCAACTATAATTCAAATACACATTCAAATCAAAATCCATAATCCGAAAATTCTAAATCAGTAATACATCTCTTCAAATACTACTCCTTTCCTAAGAGATATTTTGAAACGATTAGATAATATTAATAATAAACTAATAACTTTAACTAATAATATTATTGTCACAAAAAATGAAATAATTATCTTTTAAAAAAACTAAGTTGACATTAACTACCATTTAACCAAATTAAAAAAATACAATATTACTCATACTAAAGGAATATACAATAATAAATAAAATTTGATGATTTGGTTGACTTATTATTTAAATCTCTAATCAAATTCTACCAATTCCTTTAAATGATATTTCTCCTTTAGAAAAAGATATTAGTTTAAAAAATCAATTTGTTGAATCTTGATTAAAAATCAAAAACATTGCTAATATTATTTGACAAATCCTTTAAACAATTCATTCTTCTTCTAAATGAATGTATAATAATTAAATATTAATAAGATCATCTTATATAATATTTAATAATATTATTATTATTTCAAATGATTCATTTTCAAATATTATTAATAACCTAAACATAATTTCTTTTTCCATTCATAATGTTTATAACTGTTTCTCAAAAATTAAATTATAAAATATTGAATATTTTTATTTCAACTTAAATATAAGTATCTTTAACCTTAATGAAATACATTTAACCTTATTATAAGCTCATATCTTATTAATAATTTACATAATAAATTATTTAAATACTTTTTATTTGACTAATCATTTACAAAATTGCCAAAATATAAGATTAATTATTTGAAATAATCTCTGCTCTCATATTTTCAATCAAAAATCATTTTTTAACTATATTATTTTTCTTAATTTTCAATTTAAAAAATAAATTTAAACTTAAGATTATTTAGATTTACTTACTAGCTTCTTACAAATTAAAAAAAGATTTTTAACATACTTATAAGTTTAAAAGAAATTAATGAATATTTTGATCAATAGTTTTAGTTTAAATTATATATTATTTTAATAGAAAATTTTAATATTGATATTAGTAGAAAATATAAATTATAAATTAAAAAATAGCTACAAACATTCTTACATAATATTATTAATTTAAGTTTTATTTATACTATTACTTCTTTCAATTCTTCATATTCATTTACATTCTGTTTTTCTTTATCAAATTCAGTCTTATATATCAATTATATTTTTACCTTAACAAACCTTTCACACAATTTAACCTTTCTTAATATCTTAAATAATTCTTTCTTTTATATTTACTGATTATTACATATTATTTATTACCTTATATAAAAAGAATTTTTTTTTCAATCCTTCTCAGCTAATCAGAAATAACATAAAATTTCTAAATAAACTTTCTTTATAATAAAATAACATATTATACTAAAATCTCTTTGCAAACAAGATAAACCTTTTACTTAGACACAATTTTAAATCAATAACATTTCAATTTAAAATTTATATTCTTTAAATAGTTTTATTAATAAAACCTAAGAATTTTTTGTCTAAACTATCATTACTATCATTTCAAAGTATATTTTTAAATAAATCACTTTTGTCTCTCAAAATTTCTCATACTTCTGACTAAATTTATCCATTCACTTACAAATTAACAAACTTTACAAATTATATTATGTGTAAAATATCTTCTTTATCCCTATTTTCTACTAATTTATTTGCTTTTATAACCTTTTCTATATCACAATTAGAATATCAATTATCCTTAAAATAAAGCTAATCATCTTATTTCATC